GCAGTAAGGGATAGAAAGAAGGAAAGAGGTTAATTATATTGAGAAGAATCGAGGTATTAGAGGTAGAGAGAAAAGCTTGGGCAAAAATAAGGAGAAGGGGAAGTGCGGGAAATGTTTGTGAAAAAATAAATTAGATTCTTATTGGCTAGCGGGAGGCTAAGCATAAAGGGTGATGAAGCTGATAAGGAAGCAAAAGGGGACCACGATGTGTACGTGGCTTTGAGGGGTGTGAAATCTGGAATTCATAATCTCTGTGGAAGGAAGCTATGTTTTCGGGTAATAGTTTATGAATTGAGTAAATCAGAGCTAGAGGTGGAGTGGTGGTAAAAGGAATGGTAGACGAACATTTCACACATAGAATCAAAAAATCTCAGTGACCCATTGGGTTTGGGGGAAAAGAGAAGGAAAAAGTTAAAGGTGATTTCAAGTCTTTGAGTCCATTTACCAGAAAGAATGGGAATAACACTAACTGATCTAGAGCTAGGAACATAGAAGTAGTGGTTTTGGAAGGTAGATACTGAGTTTTGTTTTGGGATGTTACATTTGAAGTACTTGCAGACTGCCACCTTCGGTTCTTCTATAGTGCCTAATACATATTTCTATAATTTACTTAACACACTATTATAATTTAAATCTATAACATCAACCTCAGCTGAGTCCTCATTCATGCTTGACCAGCATGTGTTTTACACTTCCTTTAGTCGGCAATCTCTGTTTTCCTTGTCTTTGGCCCCTTCTTTATCAGCTGACATTCTCACACTTTACAGAGCAAAGAAAAGCACATGTTCTTTTCTGAAGAATCACATTTCTTCAGATTCTACTCTTTACCACCAATATTATCAGACCTTTACTCGTCTTTCTTTCCTCTTGTCTCAGAAATTTTTTTCTTTTCAATGCTAACCCTTCTAGCAAAAAATTCTTTTTTCCACCTCTTGTTGCTTCTTTTCATATCTTGCTCAGTTATTCTGCCAAAGGAGTCTTCAGTCTAACCTGTTTAATTGGCTAGAACTTCCCTCTAACATTTTAACAATAAAAAAAACCCAAGACAATCTTGAACCCCAGTCTTCCTCTACTCTTTTAGAATTACATGATAAAAATCTCCTCTCAACCCTTCCTCAATCTCAAACCATCATCCACATCTCCCACACTTTCCCTCCCTTGCCACCATTCTGCTGAAAGTGAATCCCTTCACCTTCCAGTATTTTTCATCACTATAGGAGAGCACAATGCCTGAGACAAAACAGGTAATGAGTGAAGGTTTATTGAATTAAACCCTCAATCTATTTAAATGCCATGAAAGTCCTATTCTAAAGATTACTAGTACCTTCTACTTACCAGCCCAACCCAGTGACTTACAGTCTGTTCTCATCATACCTGACCTCTGAAATATTTGACTCTTGGTTTTGTTTTAAAGGTCTCTTAATCTGTTCACTTTGTTTTTATTACATAGTCCCTTATTATTTATTCTTGCCTATGTCACAGAAATTTGAAAGGTTTGAGCCTGATAGGACTCAATAAACCCAGTTTAGGCATTTCACAGCCAGCTGCCCTGTCTGCTTCTTAAAAGTCTAACTTGCTTGACTTTTTATAAGATATTTTCTCTGATTTTCCTCTAGTCACATTATCTAGTCTTTCTCCATGGGTAATGTACTCCCACTCCAATTCTGGGCTTCTTCATTTTCACTTTAATGTTCTCCTATAATTTCAACTATTACTAAATCTAATCAAACAATAGGTCAAATATTGTGCCCACTACAAAATGGAAATTTAGTTGAAATTGTATCTCTAGTCCTGTTCTTTAAGTTACAGGTCTATATTTCTAAATGTCTGTTGATGAAATCTACCTCATTATTTATAAGGTCTTCCTGTTCAGAGTCAGACATTTCTCCAAACTTGTACCCTTCCTGAATGTCCTAAATATGAATTAAATAGTGGCACAATCTTCCACCCAGTCACCTCATTAGAAACACAGGAATTACCTTAGCTTCTTTCTTTCTTCTTTTGTCCTCCACACCCAGTTTGTCACAAAATCCTGCTTGTGAATACATTATGAGAAGTTTTTTAACTTCTCTTATTCTTATTCATCTTAATCAGCATTGCCTAGAACACTCATAAGTCTCTTGCCTAGACTTTTTGCAATAATTTCCTCACTTGTGTTTATATTCCATGACACCTTCAGAGTTATCTTACTAAAACAAATTTGGAAAAGTCCACAACCGATGACTATTCCCTACAGCAAAAATTCATTCACAGTCTGCCCGCAAAGTCTACTCATTTACCACACTTGGAGTCCCCTACTGCACCAGCTATATAAAATTATATACCATTTCCCTGATAAACTACATACTTTTACATTTTTTTCCCTATCTTCTCATTTTTTTAAGCTTATCCTTATCTTTGTCTTTCTGGAGGACACCTATTCTCTGTAAGTCCCGGCTGCCCAGCTCAAATATATCTTCTGTACACACATGGTACTTCTACATGTCTCTCACACTCTGCTGTCAGATACTGCTGGTAACTTCCAGAAGTGCAGGTTCAGTAAGTGCTAAGGGTGAAAGTCCAAATGTTCCTTTTCTTTTATTGGGAGCATCAAAGAATGTTTAGTAGAAAGAGTGGCTGTAGCCAAAATTAAAGAGTTTGACAGGTCAAAAAAGTGGAAAAAATTGAACTAGATGAAGTAACAATTTTTTGAACTATTTAAAAATGCTTATTATATTTTACTGTGATGAAAGGAGCCATGAATAAGAAGAAATTAAAATATAAAGGAGTAAGGATTTGGAAGAATGTAATGGTCAGAACAGGCTAGCCTTAGAAACAAAGGGGATTATTTTTAACCTGAGGTGAGTGGATGAAAGATAAAATCAAATGGAGTGCTGAGCTGAAAATGAAGGTTTAGCAAGAATTTGATGGCTTTAATAATGACAAGTCAGACTATACAACTTCATAGTCACCATGAAGGCCAATTTAAATATTCAGGAATTTTGGGGAGCCAATTGTTAAGTAATTGGTAGCTTAAAATCCATCTTTGGGAATGCTTACACTACAGAGGTTGGAAAACGCTACAAGTTGGTGCTTTTCTTCTCTTCCTCATCATTTTGGCTGAGCCAAAAATGCTTCCATCTATTAGTGAGGCTGGGTTGAAGTTGGAGACATGATTATATTTTGGACTTTTTCAACCTCATTCAGTGTTTCGCTCCAGGAAATCTCCCCTATACAGCAGAAATAGTGGCTGGAGAGTAGACAAGGAGATGGAAATTAACAAAGTATGCTTTAGGATAATAAATTTAAAATATTGGAGCAAAATAAAATACTGGCAGTGACACAGGAAAGGGACAGAGGCAATATAGTAGGAAGCTAATGGACTTAGTAAACATGGAGGAATTGTGATGGGGAAAATTCTGGTTAGAATGTACAACAGTTTTCATGAGTCAATTGAGGAATAAGGAATGTCATGCAAGTGAGTTGTTTAGGAGTTCTAGGCTATAGCCATTCTCATAAATGGAAGAGAAGAAGTATATTGTAAAAGAAGGCAGTGAAGTTTAAAAGTCAAATATCTAAAGGATGGTTAGATTGTAGCGTGAAGATACGTAAGAATGATGGTGGGAAAAAGAGACTGGGCATAACTAGAGGAAGCTCTAGGGATATGGGAATGATGAAAACTGGACAGTGGAGGAGTTGGTGAGATGGTAAAAGTAGATGCACATTTAAAATAAACAACAGAGGACAGTAGATTATGAGTGGAAATAAAGCCTAGCGAGCAAAGTTGTATTTAATTTTCAAGTGAAGTAAATATTTACTGCCCTGGGGATCCCATTACTCATAGCAAAGTCATCCTCATCACCAGTAGTACCTAGCATTTTGGTAATGGCCACATGAGTGCTCCAACACCTGTATGTAGGTCAAGCAGGAGCTTCAGACACATGTGGTCTGAGCTGAAGACAAACCAGTAACACCCAACAATGAAGAGAGGGACCCTTCAATAATTAATTAAAATCAAAGGAAGATTCTAACATTGTGTACTTCATTCTGCTTTTATGGTTTCATATTATTTTTATGTTTAATTATATGGAAGATGTTAGAGTAGAAGAAGCATTTGGGGTATAGGCACCGTAACTTCACTACTTTAAAATTCCTATTCTGACCCTGTTTGACTCCAAGAAGACAGTAATTTGTTGGCTTTTTTCAAAGAAGGGCAAAAGTATCTCTTCCAAATGTGTACAGTCTTCATTCAAAGCTTAGCTTATGTGAAAAAAAAAAATATTTGGACTTAACCTTTTCTATTGCCTTAGACTCAATGCCTTATTTTTAAATGTTTTCCAATTTTCATATCTTTATTATAGCAGTGTTATATCAATACTTTCTAATCTCAGGAAAGAGCTTGGTTAAGAGTTTGATTTGAAGGGAAAGAAGGAATTTGTTATCTGATTTGATTCCCACAAATTTTTTTTGTTTTTGAACAAGTTTTTCAAGACTTCTATTAACAAAATCTTTTACACGTATTATTTTATAATAGTGAATTAGAAAGAAAAGAGGGGGAAAGTGGAGCCTTTATATCAAATTTTGACCCATATTGCACGAATATAGTAGCCTGAAACATGCCTTCAAAAATAATGCATCCCAGAATGCATATAAATTCGAAGTTGTATTTGTAAAAGCTACTAATTTTAAAAAAATTCTGGTTCCTAATTTTTAGCTGCACAAATATTTATCTTTCTAATTACAGAGTAAGTTTCATTGGTATCAAGCCATGAATATAACTGCCCAGAAATAAGTGTAACTTGAAACTAATTCTAGCTAACTATCTCCTGACTAAAATTTACTTTTTTTGGTAAATTCAAGGTAATATGTACATTTATTCTGCTTTCTGGCCCTCAGGCAGATATAAATGCCTCAATCCTTGACCATCCTTTGTAATACATTTTAAAACTTGATGAAAGTGAGAATATAGAGTCATTCTAGGTCAGTCTAAATACGTACTTTTTGTCCTGTTCATGTTCCAGATACCATACTCCTCAGCATCTCCTGGGAATTATGTAGTAAGTACATTTGGGTTTGTTTGCTCATAAGAATTGATGTTACATTTTATTTGGGCAATGAAATAGTTGCCCAGATGTTAAGAAGAGCCCCTGTGTATTGGGCAAGAAGTGAACATCTGATTTGTATTGAGTTGTTTCATCTGCCAACCTCAGTACATATGTTGATGTTCATTAGTGAAACAGTTATCAATCTGGCCAAATTGCCCTGAGTACTGTGTTTTACTTCAGCATATGTCTCTGTAAACCAGTACAATACACTCTGTCCAATCATGAAGAAAGCCATACCCAGTTACACAATAATATGCTTGAATTTGCAATTCTCCAGGAGAATAATCTAACCTCCTCTGCCACCCTACTGTCAATACACAAAGTCTAAGACAACTTTAAACTTTCTCTTAATCACAAAAAGAAGCAGGTTGCAGAATGATGACTATTAAATTGGGGGTCCTTTTAAGTTGTTTTTTTTTTCATTCTTAGGAATTAAACATTTTTCTTAACATTATTTAGTACAAGGTTTTTTTTATTATTTCACATAGAAACTGAAATCAAATTTGCAGGTGTCACATGAGTTCTAGAACTTACAAATTAACTTTCAACCATTATCACATTATAATCCTTCCCAAGGCCATCATAGAAATTTTGTAATAATTAGGAGAAAATGCTTAGCAGAGAAGGATAAAATTGTAATGAGGAAAATCCTTCCTAAATTTCTTTAGAAATTTTCAGAGGTGGTAGCTAATTTGAATGGGAAGAAAGGAGTGCCTGAGAGGCTCAGTGAGCACTTTACCGTCCACTGAAACAGTGATTTATGAACACAGTGAAAAGCCTACACTCTTTTGGGCCTGGGAACTTAGTGCTCAATGCTCCCTTAAGTCTATACAAACGAAGAATGTAACTTAATTTCACATTTTTTTTAATGATTTTTTTTTTTTATTTATACAAGGCCAGATGCATGGGAGGGTGAGAGGATTCACCAGAGACAGAGTGGGGAGCAGAACAGGCAAACGGACCGAAGACACTGCTGAGGGGAGCAGCGGGCTAGGCAGGAGAGGTCTGCACCATGTGGGTAGCTCCCTGGCCGACCAGGAATCAAACCCACACTGCAGAGGCTGCTGACAGCTTCACAGCGCTGCGCTCAACCCACTGTGCCACCGAGGCCCTTATTTCACATTTTTTATGAAAAAAGGAAAATTAGAAAATTTGGGCAATACTCTTTTTTTTATTAAAGTCACTTAAGAATAAACCTGATATATGGTATTATGAGATGATTTCCTTTGATTGAAAGGAAATTCAAGTTGTTTATTAAATTCAAATTCAAATACATTTATTATTTGAAATTATTAGTGTATTATATCTTCACACACAGAATGAAGCAAAAATTTGGTTACGGTACATCTGAAAAATTCTAAGACTCACTGCCTGAATTTTCAATTTTGGTTGTCTGAATAACTACATTAACTTTAAAATTACCTAATCTTCATTTTAGAATGATTGTATAGCTGCAACCACAGCATTCATCATCATTGCCTTTCCTTTCAGTTAATGTGATAGCTGAAGGTGCAGCCCTCCAGAAGCATTGCAGTCAGTACTGACAGAAGTAGCATCAATGTCTTTTTTAATAGGAATATCTTTTGTTTTTAGTTTCCTATAAAAGACAGTGGTATATAATATAGAGTAAACTAAATCACAGGTACACATGGGTTATTTATATTTTGTGCATTTGTAAAGGCCCCATTAAATGGTTTGTCCTTAACCTCGTTATACCTGATGTGATTAAGTCATAAATAACAAATCCGTGTTACGGGCTCATTGTTTTGGAAACGTATCAAAAAAAAATTCAACTTATTTAAGGTAAATTATATTTTGCATAATACAGAAATGATTGTGCACTCAGAAAATATATTAAATGTTATTTTCAACTGGATTATAGTCATGTTTCTGTTTTGTTATATATAATGAGATGCCTTATTTTTACTGAAATTTTGTGTAATTATTTAGGGTCCTCCAGGAGGTGGAGGGCCACCAGGAACACCCATCATGCCTAGTCCAGCAGGTATTGTAATCAATTTAAGCCACATGAGCATTTGATTACTGGAATAAAATCACAAAATATGAAACTCTTGTGACAGAAATATTCATTATCACATTGATGGGATACTTATAGAAGTAGAATAGAAGTAACAAGTAGGAAGAAATAGTATGTTTAAACATCTAATGGACAATTACTTTAAGCATATAGAAAATTTGTTGAATGGGTAAGAGATTTAATGAGCAAGAAAACTGATAGATTTCTTGAGATTAAGGAAAAGATCCAACTCTCACCACTTAGATTCTGTATAAGTAACATGTGAAATATATGGACTCATTAGGTTAAATATAGCAAATCCAACCCACCATATCTGTCATCTTACTAAGGCAGATGCAAATGTGCTTATGGTATTATTTATCCCACACATCCATAGATATTTATTAACTCAAAATCCTTATGTAGTGGGGAAAGTTTTCTTCTAACCTCCTAAATTGAAATGCTTCAATATTACTATAATATTAAAATTTATAATATTGAATAATAATATTGAATAAAATTTTTTTAAATAGCTTTATCCTTCTTTTTGAGACTATTACAGACTATGAAAAGTGTTGTAAAGTGCGTAATATAATGCTGGCAGTTTAACAGCCCTCCTAGGCCATGCTCTGTTACATGTATCGATCATGAAAACATTCATATCCTCTGACTCCTATCACTGTACTACTAGAACTGATTGGATAAAACCCAAAATTTATGGAGAAGGATTCTCATCTGTTATAGTCAGTGGTGAAATAGTAGACACAACCTTCATACCTAATCCAGTGTAAGTGAAATTAATATTTTATGAATCATGATGGAATACAATGTAACCATTAAAATTACTATCAAAGAATTTTTAATGACATGGAGAAATGTCCATAGTTCAATACAATATGATCATAATTTTATTTTAAATTATATATTACATAGAAATCTATAAAGCAGAACATGAAGAAAGGCTAAATCTATCAGTGATAAAGTGTTACTGGGTAATGAAATACACAGAGATGTTTTATACTTAGAAATTATTTTGCACTGTTTAATTCATATGGTTTGTTGAAATCCAAGATATGTGCAAACTTGAAATTAAATCTTGTTGATCAGCAAATAAGTTTTGATTAATTTAGAAAAGTATAAATTTGATAATACAAATTTTTACTTTGCTTCACAAATGCTTCAGCATATATTCATAAATATTCCATAGATCTCTATCCTCAGAGTGTCTTCATTGAAAGTGAAACAAAACTCATTAAAGATAGAATTATGTGAATTGAACATCTTGCTTACATTTGCATTCTTGTATGGAGAAGTTAATGTTTAATTTATGAAGGCAGCATGTAATTAATAGACACTTCACTACAATAACAAAAAACACTGGGGGAGTAATGCTAAACTTTGCAGATAATAAGTAATCTGACCACTACTTCCTTTCAAGTCAGAAGTTGCCACCAGTATACTTCCTAGCCTTCTGCACATTCTTTTTTTATGTACTCATTCTTTACCAGTCATGCCTCTACCATGAAGCCAATACACACATGTGTACATGCATGCACATACACAAACACAAAATAGATGCTAGAAGATCAAAGTTTTCCTAGGAAATTCCAGCTTCATTCCCCTCAATATTTTTCCTTTTTCATACGACAGTGTATTCTTGATTAGTCTTAAAAGTAGGTATTTTTCTTTCTGTTTATTTAAAACATATAGCCCACTTTCCACTCAAATTAATTAGTAAAATTAGTAATAGTAATTAGGGTGAAAAAAACATTTGAAGTTTTCTGTGTTTAAAAAACAATCCAAGATTTCCTGAAGGTAACTTTTTATGGGCTGGGGTTTATTCCATTAGTTAAATCTGAGTTAGCAGATATTGTTGTACACAACGTGATTAAGATATGGTCCCTTCCTTTCCTTCTGTCAGGGAACTTACCATAACCTAGTAAGAAGCAGAAGAAAATAAGACAAAATGTTAACTATAATGCAAAGCAGAATTCAATGGGGGTGGGTGGTAGGAGGAGCCCTCAGGCACTTGGAAGTATGAGAAAAAGTATTCATGAAAGAGGTGATGTTTGCCATTGAGATGGGAAAGTTTGATTATATGCAAGAAAGAACAGTAGCCTGGGTTGCCCAGAGTAAATCAAATATATGGATTTAAAAACAGTTAAGGCTACAAAAGTTAATAAGGACCATGTTTAGTATAAACAAATAAGGATCAAATGAGACAGACATTTCAACTTTTTTGACAGTGTGATGTCTTAATCAAGATGTGAAAAATAAATATAAATCAATTTACAAGGTACCAATAAATATCTAATCTGTGCTGTATGTGGTGATACACACTATAAAAAACTTATTAATACCTAATAAGTAAATACACAAAAAAGAGAAATAATTATCCTTTTCCCCCTCTGTGATTATTGCCATGAGAAATTATTTTCTGCCTTGAATCAGAACTGAAAATCTAGAACACACCTTTTTCAAAATAGAGAGAACTGCTGTTATATTTAAGAAAACTAAATACTTCAAATAGAAAAACATTTCAACTGATATTTTCTAAATATAAAACATTTAGCCTTTCATTCTTGGTTATACATTATAAGATCACATATATTCAGATAATTAAAATTTGGCTAATAGACACGAAATGTAAAATTTTTAAATATTATTAAATGGATATTAATTATTGTTATAATGGATCAAGAATACAATGAATGTAAAATTTTTATCATGAGATATAGTGGAGGAAGCTGCCTTTTACTTCAAGCTAGATAACTTTTCATTTCAATTGTATAGCATTGTTCTAATCCCTTCCTGTTGGAATTAAACCGTAACAGTCTACCAACTTTTATTATTGGCTAAATAAACTTTTTATTAAATTGGTGCGTATAGAAATGACAATTGAAAAGCTACAGAATCCAAATTTTAAGAAAATTTTGCTATCTGTATACATATATATTGCTTAGAGTTCATGTTCTTTAAAATATGGTATTTCAAAAGATATTTTTCAAAAGAAAATGTTCAGTTTTTTTAAAAATAAAAACTTTGCTATGTGATTTTTTAAAAAAAATTTTAAGTATGTTCCTTTTGACCTCAGTTATTCAAGTGATTAAATAAGTTCCTACTACACAACCCAGAATGATTAGTGAACATCAGTAATGCCTTTTTAAAGGCTTATAGCTATTAATGCGTGTGTATCTGTCTGATCATCTTTAATTATTGCTTTGTGATGACTTGGTTGATGATTATAAATATTTTAATTAATATTTTATTTCAGATTCAACCAACTCTGGAGACAACATGTACACTTTAATGAATGCAGTACCTCCTGGACCTAACAGGCCTAATGTAAATATAAATTTTGTTAGTTTGTCTTCAAATATACTCCCCAAAACCATGTATTTTATTTCCTGGCAAGTGCTGAAGTGTGTATTATCCATGAGCTTATTGGATATCAAAAAATCAAATTCTTCCTGTGCTCTAGGTTGAAAAATGTGATACAAAACATCACAAAAGATCTCACAGCAGGGCCTCCCCTGGTGGCACAGCAGTTGAGCACTGGGCTGCTAGGCTGCCTGCAGCCTCTGCAGCTCTGGTTCGATCCCCGGCCGCCGGCAAGGGTCCCACAAAAAAAAAAAAAAAAAAAAAATCTCACAGCAATATAATGTAAATGTAAAACTGAACCTAATCACTTATCAAATATTTGATTGTAATCTTAATGAGTTATTTGAGAATTACTGGTAACATATAGTCAGTTACACTAACCTCATGTCGAGCATCACTCATTTCTTCATTGTGGTCATTCACCTTCTCCTCATAATCTTGAAAATAAAATAGGAAACTGAATATGCTTTTCTTTAGATTTTTGAAATCTGGAGTTTATGTGAAATCCATGGAGCCATGAGGTAGTACATGGTTAATAAAGTACATGGTTATGATTTCTCTATGAACAGGAAACAACATTTATCTATCATATAAAACCTACATTTAAAAAAAGTGTAATAGTATAATAGATAGGTTAGGAATATAGGTAGCTCAAATCAAAGGAAAATCAGAAGGCATATAAATAATTTCTTAAGTATGCTGAAAACCAGGAATGAAATAATTATTACAATTGAACTTCCTATTGGTGATAACAAAGAGAAACTTTAATTTCTGCCCAATATGTTATTTGCATTATGGCTAGTCTACATTGAGATGTGCTTTAAGTATAAAATATTTATTTTATTCAAATTAACTTCACCTGCTTTTCATTTTAAAACATGACTACTAGTAAATCTAAATTTTCTTATTAGTTCACATTTGTGGCATGCATATTAGTTCTGTTAAGCAGCACTGCTTTCAGTTATCACAGAATTCTCTATGGAATCAAATTATTTTTCAGGAAGAAGAAAATTTCCTATGTGCAGTATCTAAAAGGTGTTTTCATGGAGCTCTTAAAGATCACTGAATAAAATACAATGTTCATTTCAGAAATGTAGCAAAGATATAGAAAAGCTCCTCCTATTGTAATTTTATTTCTTAAAACTTGATATTTGAAAGGAAGAGAATAAGGGAGGAAACCAAGAGCATATGGTACTGAAGACATTTCTGTAGGCAGCTTTGCTATCTTCCAAGTATGTTCCATTCTGGTCCTCTAATTTGATACAGAGATAAGAGATCCAAGAAAAGTAGATGAACATGTCACTTTTCCAAATGCTGTTCATCTCAGCCTGAGGTAGTAAAAGCAAATGCCTACTGAGGGCTGGAACTACAGTTTTATGTCCTATAAGCACAGAAGCCTATAGTCTTAGTGTTGTTAAAAAATAATATGGCATGACGGGGTGGGGAGGGGGAGAGGCAGGTAACAGGACCAAAAGAAGTTCAAGGCTACTCGCCTAATCAGCACCAGCCCCTCAGGCCAGATCTAAATTCTGGTGTTGACCAAAGCCTAGTAACAAAGAAATTCAAAATTAATTTCTTTGGCCTATCATTTGAGGCATACATATTACAAGTTGTTTACTGAAAAACCAATCCATGTGTTTTATCCTGAGAAAATTCATAAGCATGCACTTTGTGTACTCAGTGATGAAAAGTCAACTCAATTCCACATATAGCTGCTGGTATGCAGGTTGTCTGCTGAGGACAATTTTCCTACCAAAAACCTGTATGATTATACATTGTGTGAAAATGAAAAATGATGTAAAAAATATATAAAATAAATTTTTAAAAATCTTTTAAAAATTAGAAAATATATTTTGTATATTTCTTAATAAATTTCCTTATGTATTCTAAGATTTAGAACTTAGTTGTAAAATAGTTCAATATATCCTTTTAATGATTTATGAAGTTTTCATCCTACATAAGAAACGTTGCATAATCCAAAATCCCAAAGATATCCTTGTTTTCCTTTATACTTATTGCTTTATCCTTTGCATTTATATTTGCAAACCCTTAGGAATACATTTTGTCTATATATGAGATAAAGTTCCATGTATTTAAATTTTATACTGTTTTGACCACCATCTGTCCTAATGTGAAATGCATTTCAGAAAGTATGTCCCTAAATTTCCAGTAAAACCAATAAATGGTGTTGAGAAAACAAAACAAAAAACCTGTATGATTAGTAACCACCATTACTACCCCATCTACACACATAAATACGCATGTATTCACACACCACTTTCAATATTCTGTACCATACAACATTGAAGGAATGCTGTACACATGGGAAATTTTAAGAACAACTGTTTTCAGTAGGCTGTCTTAACTACAAGCATAATTATCTATAATTTGTCTTCAAACTGGGGTCCAGGTGTCCCCAGAAGTATTCTAGGAAAATAAGGGGAAAACTGAATAGGTGGGTCAACAACTCTCCAATAGTAGGCCTACCACAGCCCATCTATTCATATCTGCTTTATATGTGAGGCTTCCAATGTAAAATTTCACTTGAAAATAAAATAATGCCACTACTCTAAAAAATTACAAGAACTGCTATTGAATGTCTGCTTGTCATTGAACTGACACTGTTGAGACTGCCAAGAGTTAAGCTATACTCTTCTATTCCCAAGGAACTGGATGTATTTAACCTACAAAATGAAATTATTTACTCTGTCCATCTGCACAAAAGTAGATTGCTAAGAAAAGTTCATGTTGAAATCTTCTTATTAAAAAGCTTAAGAATTGCCTCTGATTTTATAATAGCAAGATTTGTCAAGAACATAGAAGAGAATACTTATCTTATTTGCACCGAAATGTGCTTTCTAGTTGCGGCTATAATAAAGAGGAAAAATTTGGATATGAATGACAATTAGTCTGAAGATGCAGCACTTATAAATGATGTGACCAGGGAAGCAGGGCAATCTAGTTAGAGAATCTTCTAGGATGAGAAAAAAAATCTAGGAAAAAATAATCCCCATAAGTTGAAAATAAAAAGTTGTGTTAGTATCTTAGTAAACACAGATGTTGTAACTTTGACTTAGTGAATTGTTTTCAATGTGATCATAGTCATTTTCTTCATTTTTTAAATAGTTTCCAATGGGCCCTGGGTCAGATGGTCCTATGGGTGGATTAGGAGGCATGGAGTCACATCACATGAATGGCTCTTTAGGTAAGGATATTAAGTTTGATGTTTAGAAATAAATTCAAACAAAAACCTTAATTCTATACAGGTGGGTATTATGGTTTGCATAATATACAACAGTTCTTCCATATACAACAACTCGTTCTGAAACGCTCCAACTTTTACCTCAAATTTATAGTTTAATCGACAGTATGATTATAGTATCACTTTAAAATCAGAATTGTGAGAACTGCTCTAACCTAACGCATATTCACAAGTATTCACTCTGACCATTCAAAATCTGGATGTTTTATGTTAAGTGGAAACACTCCTGTTTGAGCATGTGTAACATACGCCTTACCTACAGGGCTGCAGTGTCCTCCAACTGGTTGGCTAGTCTCCAAAGAGAAACTTTCATTCTTTGTAAAAACATCTTAGTTTAAATAAAATTAATGATCATATTCCAAATACTCTGAATGATTCTCTTAGGAGAATACTGCCCCATGTCTGTATTCCGGATAACCTAATTTCAGGTAGTATTTAGTATGACTAGTGGTTGAAATTTCTTCTTACTAATGAAGACAGTTGTCTGCAAGGTTAAACGAAAACTTTCAGAATAGTGAGAAATAGACAAGTGGTACAAAATTGAGGTCACACAGCAAATATATATGTGTGTATATGTGTGTGTATATATATATATGCATGCAGGCTAAAAGCAAAACCAGAAAAAAAGACATTCACTTTATGTTCATATAAATATTAAGTAGCAATATGATAAACTAAGAGTTGACAAAGTGGGTAGAGATCTATGATAATTTTCTCCTTTTGAAAAGGGACTCTTCGTTTGGATAAATTACATCCACGCACGATTTAAATTATACAGAGTTCACAACCCCACCCAGGGTCAAGACATGTTACCCTCTGATGCTTTGAAAAACTATGTAACTTCAATAATCAAGAGGTTATTGGCAACATGATAGATTTTTTTCTTTTTAAGGATCCATCCTTATTTTCCCAATATTTCAAAGTCTTTATTTACACTGCCCAGCTGTGGTAGCTAATAACCATGTGTGAATATTTAATTTTAAATTAAATAAAATTTCAAGTTCTAACCCTCCTTTTCACCACCACACATCAAGTGCACAGGGCCACGTGTAACTAATGGTCACCATAATGGACACAGAAAGATTTCCATTATCACACAAAGTTCTGTTGGACACAACCATTGTGGAACTTTATCTTCTAACTTATTGCAAAATAGTCACTTTCCAATATTTTTATTTATAAAATTATTCACAGCAGCTATAAACCAGACACACACTAGAGGAGGGAAGAAGGGAGTAGGATCAAAACAAGGGTGGTGAGAATTTTACAGGGACTGCAACCAAGATGAAAATGCATACTTTGTACAAAAATTAAAAATGATGTAAAAAATATATAAAATAAAAAAATTATTCACAAAAAGATGACATTTGGTCAAAGAAGATTCTCAGTTATAGTATTTACTAGAATAGAATCTGCAGAAGAATTTCATGTATGCTGGGCATATGGCTTACTGTTTTCTATACTGAACATTATTGTATGTATTTATATATACATGTAATGACATATATGACATATATTCAGTATTTATAATTTATTATGCCTATTTATAAGTTAACTTAATAAATTCTAACTTTTGTGACTATGAACTGAATGCGATATATTATAATAATTTTATGTCAGGAAAATTGTTAAAATAGTTAAAACTAAGCTAATATGGCAAAGATCTGATTATTGTTCATTGTTAAGTATGATTCCTTTCTTAAGAAATTAGAATTGCTTATTTCTCCCAAGAATCAAAGTAAAACTACAATACTGTTTTAAAAATATTTTTTGTGAATTGCCATGAATATTGATTGCTGTCAAATTTTTATATTTGTATTTGTAGATTTTTATTTGGTTTTAGTAATTATAGTAAATTATGGCTCAGATTGTCAGATATTATTGCAAATGTCCATTTTATATTTCATCAAATTTAGAAGCATCATTTCAGAAAACATTTAGAGATCTCTTGCTTGGTTTTGTATTTGATCAATTATATAATTTACATATGCATACACTCTAAAATTTTGAACTTAGTAAGATACATAAATGAGCTCGCCAATATTTCACTATTAGGAATTTATGGTAGCCTTTACAAAATAAATAGGTGATTGGGAACTGGAGGAATAACTTCTCCACATTTGCATCAACAGTACTTACTATGCAACAGAAAAAGGTATTTAAGATTAAAAAATTCAGCTGATATATACTGGAAATACATACTGTGCACTGCTTTAATTTACATTAAAGGAGCACTTAATTTATAAATGAAATTCATTACCTAATAAAGGTTTTCTTTTTATATTTTGTTTCAGGCTCAGGAGATATGGACAGTATTTCCAAGGTGAGTGCTGTGTATTCTATGGAACACTCATTAAGATTATTAGAGTACCCTTATGAATTGTAAGTGTTTGAAAGTAGAAGGCCAGATAATTAGAAGGGGAAAACATTTATATATAATCTGTTAAGAGTCTTAATATTTATTAACATGCTAAGATTCATTTACAGGATATACTGTACATGATTGATACCCAAGTAATAGCCATGTTAATCACATTCTGATGCTACATGTTTGTAAAGCAAATAAACATAGCTTAGATATTTTTGGTAATGTGAATAATCTCAATCATTATTACATTGATAGTTCCTTAAAATAGAGCAAGAAAGTATTACAGAAGTATATGAATACAAGTAGGAAAATAAGCCTTCCAGTAGTATACATATTTTTTCTCCTCCAGTATTTAAAATTAATCCTTTGCTCTAAGATGCCTTACATTTTTTGAAAATGAATACTAAATGTTTTAAGTAGTGACTAATTTCATATAGTTCTGTGAGTCAAAAGTATATTTAGAGTGACTATTAAGAACTAATTCTTATCTACTACTAAAATAACTCTTAGAAGTATGCTTTACATCAACAAATACAGAAATTCAGTAAAGGATGACTTCTAGTTTTCATTCTAGTTATATTTTACAGTCCTGTATAATAATGAAAAATACTTTATGCCAAGGAAAGACTGATTGAGCTACAAAACCTTTAAAATTAAGACATCAAACAAGAAAAAAGGTTTAATTAGCATCCTGACATTATATCTTTATTGCTGACTGTGTGGCCTTGGCAGTTCTACATGTATTTTGTGTTTAGAAATTATCTTTTCCTTTTCTGAAATTACATAAATATTCAAAGGGAGTCTAGCTCACGTCTGCAAGAAACAGTATTAAGTAAACCTTAAAAAATCCTGTTTTCAAAATAAGACTTACTATGTAATTCCATTAGAGCCTTCTTGCTGAGACCCCTCAAGTCAGATGGCCGTGACTGTATTGGCTACCTTGGGTATCCGACAACTGATGTTGGCTGAATTGCGCTTTGCAATCACTATAAAAAGTCTAATGTTACAGGAGAGCATATTCCAGTATCTTAAAGTGGTTCTTTATTATCATAGTTGGGATCACGCAGATTGCTTAAGCCATCTTCCTAAAATTCCCACCATCAACCTTATAATTATTTGATCAATATAAAACAAAGTTCTATATGAGAAATTACTTTGTAATTTATTGAGCATTTAAAATTTTTAAATAGAACCATAATGACAAGTTAAATACCATCTTCTAATCTGCTGCCCTCATATCAGATCTATTGATACTTCTGTGCTTCTTTCCCTTTTCTTTTACCAGAGACACGTTTTTCCACAACACTGATTACTGCTGATGATATTCTCTTACCTAATGCTTATTCTCTGAGCATTAATTGGCCACCCATTGTGTACTTTTGTGCACTGAGTATTATTGCCTTGTACGCTATGGGGAGATTAAAAAACACTTCTTTAAACATAATCTCTGTCCTTAAGTGGCTTATACTTGGGCAGGAGCTCCTTTATTCAGTTAACAAATGCACCGAGGCATCCTGCGGGACCCAGAAAACCCAAGGATAAACAAGATACAGTCTCTACCCTCAAGCAGCTCAGTGTAACTGAGGAGACCACACAAATACAAATAAGGAAAAACATTTACAAAGCAAAGTTCAAATATGTTTAAGAATTTTCTCCAAGTAATAAACACTCCACTTAGTGTGTATTAGAAATGACTAGTTGCACCTGCTTCTTTCCCTGCAGTCTAATTATTTCATTATATTACTCCATGATAACCACATGTTCATGAATTGTTTCCTGCCTTCCTTCTTTTCCAGCCCATGTGCAACAATCTCAAGAAACTCCTCCCTATTCTCTTGTCTCCTGGATTGGTTTCTTTTCATCTATTTTCTTCTAGTCATTCTAGTTATCAATTTTGTTCAAAATCCCTTGTAGATCTCCTGCTTCATCTTCCTAGTTCTCCCACTAAAACTGTAAAACACCAGCATTACTACTCCATCGCAAGTAGAATTAGTACTATTTCAATTATTTTTCTACTTTTTTAATTATAAAGTGGATAAAACTGAGTATAGTTACATGCAAGGTAAATAAATAGTACTGAATTGAAAAGCAGCCCTGTTCTACTACTAAGTTGTGGGCAAAGAATTTCTCTTAAGGCTTCGTTTTGTTACCTATAAAATAGAGCTTGCAATTCATTATCTATTTCAGAAAATTGTTGAAAATCAAGTGTGATATGATAAGGCCTATGATATGATATGATAAGGCCTGATATGATAAGGCCTGATATGAAGCTCAATACAGACTGTCTTATTAGCTATATTATCATTCATGGGCAAGGCTAGGAACTCACACTGTCAACTGCTGACTTTCATAGCATGGCTGCAGTGGCAAAATGAATTAAAAGCTCCAAATGAAGACTTTAAATTATTTCTTGCTCAGTGGAGGACTGCTTAGTGAAACTCATACATGTCTCAAAATTGGTGCTTCTCAGAATGCACCTGTAGAAGTAATTTTTAAAATGAAGTGTGACATTCTTTTCATCCCTTTTGTCACTGAGAAGGCACCCATTTAATCAATGAAAATAAAAATATTTTCCCATGGTGGTGTTTTAGGGGTTGGGATTAGAGAGTGAGCATAACTGGTTTTCTTAGAAAGAAAAAACTTAGGGGCCTCCCCTAGTGGTGCAGCGGTTGAGCGCTGGGCTGTGAAGCTGCCCTCAGCCTCTGCAGCGCCGGTTCGATCCCCGGCCGCCAGGCGAGGGTCCCACATGGCGTGCAGACCTCTCCTATCTAGCCCGCTGCTCCCCTCAGCAGTGTACTTCTTCAGTCTGCCTGTTCTGTTCCCCGCTCTGGCTCTGGTGAATTCTCTTACCCTCCTGTGCTTCTGACTGTACCCAGTGTTTCTATGAATAAATAAATAAATCTTTAAAAAAAAAGAAAGAAAGAAAAAACTTAAATATATCCTTCAGTTACATTGCAATACTTTCTCTATTTTGAACTTTGAAAAAAAAAAAAAAACACATCAGAGAAGGTAACGATCTGATCATATGTTTAATAAATTATCAAAGAGTCTTTTCAACTAAAGCCTTCTGACCTCAAGAACTGTAGTTCCACTTAAAGATCCCACACCGTTCACAGGGGAGCTAATCGACAATTAGAGATCTCTGCTATCATCTCAGGTGTGCGGCCTGAGTTCTAGCTCAATTGTCCCCACCCCCACCCCCCGGGAGAACCACAACTGGCAGCTTGTTCTTTTGAGGGGCTGGCAGACTCCAAATAGCACTCTGCAAAACTCGTTATTAGCTATCTGTGAAAAAAAAAAAAAATCAATTCAAAATCAACTTCCAAAGGGCTTAAAATATTGTAAATATTACTTTATTCTAATTACAGACAGAACCAAAATTTCTACTAGTGTTCACTCTTACTAGCAGTTAAGAGGTGTGGAACAATTTCTGAGGATACGGACACTAACTCACTAATTAAGAGGTGATATGGAATACTACTTGCAAGATAAAAGCAGAAAACAGGAGCCTAAGAGAATTAAATGTGTTAGGTCATAGGAAATTGTGTTTTTGTGTGATAGTCATGTATGACATCATAGCTTAATGGGAAAATATTCCAGTTTGATGGAAGAGTGAATGAGAATGTAACAATAAAATCTCTTGAAGATGGGATCAGTACAATCCTAACTATACTTTTTCAAGGTAAAGTTCTGAGAGCACATGCCCACTAACTGCAACCAAAGCACCTACTGTAGCTAAGCTAAAAGTCATCTTTGTATTCTTTCATGCTCCCTGTTCTCTAATTATGTGCTCAAGCAATTGGAGTGCCGTTTTAACCAGTCCATGCCCTTTTTATGCATTATATTCTTATCTTGATGAAATTTACTGGACACTGCACACAGAGCTGCAGTTCAATGTAACACGCACACACTTTATTTCCATCCTTCTAACCTGCTCTGGGCTGTGTTTGAAACCACTGCCCTAGCTGTTTGTTCCTCAGATGCCATTTTTGAGTGCATCTTTCACCTGCATGTTCATCATGTCAGTTGTGGACAACAATTTCTCTGAAACTTCCATTGAAAAAATTTTCATTGCCTTCCTAACATTTAGCATAGATTACTTCAGTTTTAAAATACATGTTATCTGTCCTATCGTTTCAAGATTCCCAAATAGGAAACTGGATAGGAACAGCTTTCAGAGATCTGATATTAACTCAGTTGTACATGTTGAGTGTATCCTTTAACCTTCCTCTCAATGTTATTAAATCCCCTGCCCTAAAATAAATGTATCATGCTGAGGCACCATGCAATGAAAAAAATTGCATGGAAAACAAATAGTAAAGTGCTTTGTTTTGTATCTAAATATTAATGCAATTTTACTTTTACATTTTAAGTATTTTAAAATCAACTCTTTGAATCAAAAATCAGATTTGAAATTAGCTAAACTGTCAGAATTATAAATCAAGAAATGTTACTCAGCATAAATGCAGCAGAGACTGACCACCTCCAACTAAATAAGAGTTAAGTTGTTCCCCTCAGGACACTTCTACCACTGGGGATGTGAATGTTACATAAGAATGGTGAGGACTCATTTCATGTATTTGTTTAATATGTAACAGTATGCAACTTTAGTTGCATCCTCACATACATACAATTTTATGTTAAATTATTTTTAATTCCGAGATTACCAACATTTATGTACAAAATGACAAAAATCTGCCATCATCAAAAGGGTGATGGGGTGTAAGATTTGGGATAAATCTTACAATATTTTTATAATTTAGTTTTCTTTTTGTGCTAAGTCAGCATTATTTATCATTCCAGTTTTCAGAAGTTGATTAACCACTTTAATAGTCAATGAGCCAAATAAAATACTTTGTTAATTTCCACTCACCCCACCCCCCCCAGAAATAAAGTCATCCCTATTCCTTTCAGAGTATATTTGCATTTCTGTAGGCTTGGGAAACATTTTCAGAGAAAAATTTATCAAAAAATAGCATCTTTTTTATGCTATTAAACTAAGATTCCCCAGCCCTTGGCCTTCGTTGGCAAATCGAGCTCCTGTGGACTTCAGAAGATCCTTGTTCTCAGATCCTCCCTGTGGGGTGCACAGCAGGACCAGATACAAGCTGTATTTTCACCAGCTCATCTACCTGTCTCTGCTTTACAGCTTAATCATATTCTAAAAAAGCATACATTCTTCTGGGAATGATTCATTCATGAAATTTTAATTTTATGACATAACTTGCTTTTAGTTAAGTAAAAAGCCTTAGAGCAATTTTCTTTAAGAAACCTTAGAAACGTATTCAAAAATAAAATGGAAATCCTTAGGAAAAAATCTAAAATCTTTCATTTGAAATAACAAAGAAAATTATTTAACCTTGAAATTTATTTTTTACAAGTCAATAAATTGAACTCTGAAAGTCTCTCACATCACAAATGCAATATTATGTGAATCTGCCTTATATACCATTGTCATTGTGTATTTCCTGTTGGTGTGGAGTAGCAGATGAGCTTGCACAGCTGAAATTCAGTCCTAAGGAGACTAGCACATTTAAGTAGAATGTGAGGCAAAATGTGGGTAACAAGTTTGATTATATCACTAACACTAGCTATTTCATCTCAAAGGAATGTTTCAAGTTAATCTATCTTAAGCTAATGATAGGAAAAGGTTCTAAATCAGTTTCCCCTCAAGCCTTCTCCCCCCTCCCAAAAGTACATAGAGAATTCCCTGCCCAGAGGTATTGCTCTTGATCTTAACTATAGTTGTTAACTATCTTCCTTAATTCCTTAAGGGCCATCGAAAGCAAAAAATATTTGAAACAGTGTTATTCTGTAAATCACATATAGAATTCAAGGGAACTGTTTACTAGAATGGCGACTTTTGAATTTTGATGAATACAATTACCAAGGGAAGTTACGGTCCATCATGCCTTACCAGGGAGGAGACTTTTCATCATGCCCCGGCTGGGGAAGGTTTTTAAATTCTTCATAGTTCTAGGAATTCTGTAAACTGAGAGTCGAAATTGAATAAATACTGATTCTGAGACTAAGAAAATAGTTGTGTCATGTTACTTTGGATTTTTCCTTAATTTTAGGAACATGTTGGTACCTGTCAAGGTGCAAAAAATTAACTGGAATACATGGTAGAAGCCTAAGATTAAAATTTTAAGTCTGATTTGTCCTTAGAGATTCTGCTATAGATTCCATTTTTGAAATAGTACAATGTAAGAAGGAGATTAAAATCTTCAACAATGCCTTGTTTTCTAAATCTTATTTACAGAATTCTCCCAATAATATGAGCCTGAGTAATCAACCGGGCACTCCAAGGGATGATGGCGAAATGGGGGGAAATTTCTTAAATCCTTTTCAGAGTGAGAGTGTAAGTATTCCCTTATCTATTTCATTATATCCAGAATTTATTTCCAAAGCTCTTCTGTTAGAATAAATGCATAAAGCGGCTATTTATCTAGTGTTGAATAAGTTGATCTTTTAAAAATTAGGAAAACCTTTACATGGATTATCTCCAAAAAGTGAAGAGTAAACTTTTTACTCTTGTGCAGTTACAAAAATGAAAGTGACACCACCAATTTTCTAGTAGAAAACATCCATCCACTCTAAAAGAACACACTAGAAACAGGTTGTATACTTGATAGTTTTTACAAGTTTTCATAATACTAAAATGTCTTGGGTCACTTACAAAGCCAGGTATGCTCTCAGTACTATCCTTGAGGCTCTGAAAATGACCTCGAAATGTTCTCACTTGGTGCACTAGACCTCACAGGACTGACGGCCAGTGTTTATTGGTGATCTGTTAACCGGTTGTTGACATTTAACCTGAACTGACTACCCAGGTCGTTTATTTGAGTGTGATAAGTGTGTTCGGCAAAGGCAGTATTACCTCTCCTTAGCGATAGACAGGAACACATAAAATTAGTTCATTTACACTTTGGCACTTACACAGGCCAAAGCAATCTAGTAGGCACTGAAGAGATGAGAAAAAAATATGTTGTCTTTTCTCAGAGTTATTGTGTAATACAGTGATTTTTTAAAACTAATATTTCACATTAGAAGCACCTATAGAATTACTTAAAATTCACTATCCCAGAATCCTCCCTAGAACTAGTGCATCAGGAGAATGTCCAGGGGTGGGGCTGAGCATACTTGGCTGTGAAAAAGCATTGTCACTGGCACCGATGCACATTCTCTGCTAAGAGCTACTGAATTGGAATACAGCCATCAAGGATTTCAAAACCCAACCTAATTTCATCCTCATAAGATCAGTGCCTCCACACATATCACCATCATTAAAATTATGATGGGAGAGGGCCTCCCCAGTGGCGCAGCGGTTGAGCGCTGGGTTGCGAACCTGCCCGCAGCCTCTGCGGCGCCGGTTCGATCCCCGGCTGCTCCCCGGCCACCGGAGGAGGGTCCCACATGGCGCGCAGACCTCTCCTGCGGCCCGCTGCTCCCCTCAGCAGTGTACTTCGGTCCTTCTACCTGCTCTGCTCCCCGCTCTGGCTCTAGTGAATTCTCTCACCCTCCCGTGCTTCTGACTGTACCCAGTGCATGTATAGACAAAACAAACAAACAAATAAATAAATATAAAATAAACATGCCTCTATAAAAAAAAAAATTATGATGGGAGAGCTACTAACTACACAGAAATAGAAGAGAAAACTACCCTCATTCTGCCCTAACTCAGCCTTCACTAGAGGCGATGCCATCGGAATGTGAAGCAGGGGCTACTTGCTGGTAACATCTGCTTGGGCACAGAATGACTGCTTCCCAAAATGAACCCGAGACTGATTGTTCTGTGGATTCTTTTGCATCTTGCTATTGACCTGTTTTTTAGACTTCTGCTAAAACTAACAATAAAACTGTGCTGATCTTTAGTATGTTTGCTTCATTTGCATGTTTTATAATCATAAATGTGATTAGTGAGGACAAAGAATGTATATATAAAAACTTATATAATCTAAAGATTAGCCTGTCAGTGATTAGGAAATACCAAAAAAATACGTGAAACTAGGTAGTAGAGTCATTAATGCTTAGGATTATGGGAATTATTTTTTAGATTCTGTTTTTTCCTATAGTTTGGGTAAGGACTACAAATTTGTTGATATTAATCAATAAGTTAATGTTTACCCTTTCTTATTAGAGGTATTTATTTCCTTTTCAGCTAATTCTTCCAACAATAAAATGGTATAATTCAGTGAAGTGTATGATAATCAATTCAGTTAGCTCACCATTTATTGGGCCTGCTACAGGCAAAGCAGTAGGTTAAGGACTGAGTCTTCTGGGATGAGCATCCAACACTTCAGCTGAGGGTGCATCTGAGAAGAAAACACGCTCACGCAACGGAGACATGTCAGGCTGACAGGTGCTATGACACATACGAGCCAGGTGTTCATATAAATGTTATAAATAAAGTCTAGGGATGTAATGTGCCACGTGGTATCTACAGCTAACATTGCTGTATGATATTAGGAAAGTTGTCAAAAGAGTTCACAGCACAAGGAGTATTTTTATTTTGTCTCTGTGAGAAGATGGATGTTAGCTTACCTAGTAAGGCAATCATTTCACCATAGAGGCAAGGAGGCTGTGCGCCTTAAGTTTATACAGCGCTATGTCAGTTGTTTCTCAATAATAGTGGGAAATTTCAAGAAGAAAAAGTTCTTCATGGGATGGAAAGTATCAGATACACAACAGGACTTTAAAAACTTCTTTGTGCAGAGTAAGCACCATCCTCAGCCTTTAACTCCAACTGAGGGTGTCCAGGCAGAACAGCAGACCCTTTTGTGAATGTGTGTATGAAATGAATGGCTGGAGCAGGGCTTCCCCCGGCCTTGACTCCCGGCCCAGTCTCACAGGCCCTCTAAGCTAAGAGGGAGGGAAAATGCAGAGTTTGTAGCAAACTAAAGCCCCCTCCACTCTTCACTGCTCTCCCTTCCTCACCAGAAAAGTCAGCAAAGGAGAGATAACTGGGTGGTTATCCCCCACAGGGGCTAGGGAGCCTCGCAAGCAGTCCCCACTGGCTGCTCTGTTCTTTGGGGATCTGCTCGGAGGTCAGCCCCGCTCTGAATGATGCCCTTGTTGTAGTCGCCTCCCTCTAGCAACACAGGTTTTCGTTTAGTCCTTTTATGCAGATAAAGAAATGAGAAAAGAGACAAAGGAAGACAAACAAGAGTCAGTGCTGACAAATGTAGGGCTCGAAATAAGTATATAGACTAGGTACCTCCAGTACGTTAGCTTTACTATCCTGGAAAAGCAGAACTAATGATGAGTTCAAAAAGAAAACATTTTCTAATAAATGAACATGCAGAGTCTAATGTTTGAAAGCACATAACTCTGAAAATCAGGTTTTTGAGCAGTCTGCCTTTTGAGGATTTGTCAGTCTTTAACTTGAAGTTAAATAACAGGAGGCTTGAGACGATAATAAACATTCAGTAGGTGTTCACTATGTCCCAGACACGCTCCTAGTCACTTAACAGAGAAACAAAAATGCCCAGTACCAAGAGAGAAACCTTGCAATGCAAACACGCATTACACAGGAAAGTGTGAATCAAAAAAAATGTTTCTCTAGTCAGCCTTTTTTTAAAATCATAAGCCTTTATTTCAAGAAACAGAGATGCCCCCTAGTGTTCAAACTTTGTAAAATGCTTGTTTTTGAAAATACAGACTACAGAAAGGCTTAGTTCAAAAATACAGTTTTTGGTGCGTCTAGAGAAATCTGTTAGTCTTCTTGAATTAATTTAGCAGACTATTTCCTCCATGGCATTAAACTATAACCAACTTTTAACACTAAAATTACGGCATTTAAGATATTAAAATCATGGCATTAAATAGGAATATTAAACAAGGTGGTAGATTATCTCCTATTATGTACCCTTATATACCCTGTGCTTTGTCATTGTCTGTATTGGAAAGAATCCCATGCACACAAATTTTTACATCGTCACATAACACTAAATTTGCTTTAGTTCAGTTCACAGTAGCTACATTTCTTAGTGCGAAATAAACTACATAGATGCTTAGAAATAGAAATTTAGTGAGATGTAGATCTGTAGTATTAAAGTATATAAACAGGAATTTATGCACACTGTTCAAAGATTTAATAAATATCTGATGGATTTCATGGTCTAGGAACTTAATACATAAGGGGAATATCACAAATTCTCTAGTTCACAACAAGACATACCACGGCAAAATGCATTTTAAATACAAAGGTTAACATGTTGGCATGTGTCTAAAACGATGCCTGTAGATTTTCCCGAACAGTAATGTCGCCAAAGCTTTGTAAGAGCCAGTTTGTCATCTGATTAAGGAGAATCAAATTCACAGAAGAGTTTTGCAATAGGGCAACCTGATATCACAGTATTTTGGCACAAACATTACAATATGTCATCACATATTGATGCAGCAGGACAACAGAAACATTGCGAAGTGCTCTCCATGCTCGCCATGAATATTTTATGTCTCTAAATTGACACCCTATTTAACACCTACTCTTCCTTTACTACTAAAAAGCTACCAGCCACTGCTCTTCTACTTTGAAGAACAGTAATCAGTGGCAAAAATTCCTTTTCACTTGCACATCCTGAGTTTTCCTAGAAATTTTGTGACGCCCCTTAATTTTACTGAGTTGGAAAGTTTCAACAAAGGCAACAGCAAATGAGCAGTTTACAGTCTTGTTGCAAAAAGCACATCACTTATGTGACAGCCACACGCCAGTACTGTCTACTGTGCCAAGTATGCCCAGAGCATCATTTTGCAGTTGCCTGTATTCAAAAACTTTATTAGACGCTTACTAGTTTTTCTGAGTTGTATTTCTTGGAGCTGATGTGTCCACTCTTTTGGATTGAAGCTGGTCCTTATTTTCTCTTGCTATACCCTACTTTCCACCTCGTTTCCTTGCTGGACAGTCTAGCTCATATCTTCCCAAAAAATTTGTATGAAGTTTATTTTTTGTAAGATTTACTTAAGCTTTTTAACATGTACTAATGAGTTGACTTAATGACTGCCAGTGCTAAAAGATGGTAGAAACCAACAAGCATGCTTTGTAACAGGAAAAGCATATACAGATAAGAGTATGTACGTGTGTAAATGTCCGTGTACATACATACCTTCCCATGTATCCCCTACATACTTTGAACTATGTATATAATGACAGCTATATTTTTAACTACATTTCCTATGTCACATAAATGAACAGATATAACATTGATGGAAAAAGAATTCAAGAATATTTAAATCCAGTTATTGGGAATGCACATTAAGAAAAATGACCACTCAAGTTACAACTTATCTAGAAACATTTTTTCAGACATTTCCTTTGAAGTCCTTAAATGCTTTAGTGTCTTTTACTGTGTTTAGATCATGCAGTGCATCCAATAAAATTTTTGTTTTAAAATAATGGAAGTCTAGCTATGCTATTTAAATTTACGGTACCTACGGCTAAGTTTTCAGTTCCCAAGTTGCATGACCACATGTTTAGGAGCCATTGGTGGTGATGGCTGTTGTATTAGACAGCACAGAACTTATCCATCATCACAGAAAGTTCCATTGGACAGCACTGATTAGACCACCAATCTCACTGTAAATAATACGAAGTATAGAAGCATAGATTTAAGTTTTGTGTCTGTTTTGCCACATTCTCTAAATTTTTCCTAGTTTTAATAAACCTTTGATAACTGTTTTCTTTATTCAAAGTCAAATACCAAAATAGTACTCTGTTTTGTCAAAGTCTATGGATAGTTCACTGAAATTTTCTGTCATTCTGTCAGTCCTCGCTTATGATTGTTTTGGGTGTTTGGCTTTGTTTTGCTTTGCTTTTTGGCTGCCATTCTTAAGGGTAGAGAGGGAGAAGTTTCTCTGCTAATGGAATCCTGTTTCTCTTCCCCGGCCTCTGCCCTTTTTATCACCTTACTCACTGTAATCCAAGACAGACTCAGTTCAAGTACATAATTTAGCTTTCCTCTACTGAAAGGAAACTTGAGGCTAAAAAGTAATTAACAAGTAGGTTTGCCTAGATTTGGCCTGTGTTTAGAGTGTGAATGATCCCACCACTATGGTTCAGTGACCCATTTTCCAGGCCTAATTCTCCACCTTTACTCAGTCACAGTGTGGGGGTTTTGTCTGAGCCCCAGTTCTACTTCTGGTAACTTCAAGACCAGACTTCTGCCTGCTGATCCCAGTCACCTATGCTCTTTTCCAGGGAATCCTGCTTTCTCTGTTAATAAATCTGTGCTTATTTCAATACACAGCTTACACTTCATTTCTGGTCTCTGTGTTACCTCCACCCACCTGGAATACACTTCATTCTGTTCTGTCTCCTCCCTTTGTTAAAGTTCATGCTCCCCTTGCCGAGATTATCACTATTCCTGAATAAGGCCCTACGGCCTGGGAACAATCACTGACTGTCCTTCCACAGTCATTATTATATATGCTAAAGTAGAAATCAGACTATCAAGTTTTTTAAATGCTTTATGTAATCTTAGGACCATCTGGGCGTTTACTATATGTAATCCTCAAAAACCACTTTAAAATAGGTATTAAATTTTACAGGCGAAGAAAGAAGTACAGAAAGGTTAAGTCACCTCTCACGTTTCCGGAGCTACTAGGTAGCAAAGACTATCCCCTCATACTTATTTTATGGTGATTCAGCTTTGGCCTGAATTTACCCAAACAGCTACAAGTGGCCACCAAATAAGAACGTGGCTGTTAGGTGGTGACAACGACCCTGTCCTCAGCCTTCTCCTAAGTCCAGAGAGAGAGAGAGAGAGAGAGAGAGAGAGAGAGAGAGAGAGAGAGAGAGAGAGAGAGAGAGAGAGAGAGAGAAAGAGAGAAAGTAGGGACAGGCTGCTTTCCAGAGGAAGTACTGAAAGTTCAGGACTAAGTCAATTCTCGGTTACTTTTCTGTTGTATGAGGTTAAAAACTGTGCTTGAAAGATTGTAAGACATTAGAGTGCACTTACTGTTGTTTACCAAGAAAATCATTAGCAGTCTGTAAAAGATTTGCTGTTAAAATACGGATTCTGCTTCCCTTCCAGTACTCCCCAAGCATGACAATGAGTGTGTGATCCATTACCAAGTCTCCTCATGAAAACCACAGTGAGTCAGCCCTTCACAGAACTACTACGGAAGAAAATTATTCATCACAGTGTACAGTTAAACAAAGGAATCTCAGTCACACCAAACCAACCTTTTTATTTCCTGCTCTCTCCCCTATTTTGTGAAGAAAGCGGGTCCAAACATGATTCAAACAACTGTACGGAACGGCATATTAGAATTGCCCTAAACCGAACTGCAAATAATTATCTGTGTATGTATATGTGTGGGAAAGAGAATGTATTGTATATGTGTATGTTAGACAGACATATACACATACATACATTGACCCACAGGACATTGTAAAATATTATCACATGACATCTTAAGTAGAAATAAGTAGGGACTTTTATTCCATCCTTTTTTTCACGTTTACATTTTAATTATTAAAAGTTGCTCCTGCCCCTCCCTGAACTATTTTGTGCTGTGTATATCACTGCTTTATATAAGTTATTTTTTAAGGTGAACTCAGATGTTATGGTTTTGTAAATGTCTGCAATCATGGATAGGAATAAAATCGCTTATTTGAGAGCTTTCATTAAATTGCGTCTGATGCAAGTTATCCTGTGAATCACAAAGTGTACTGTCTAAAAAAAGTGTCTTCATTTTTATGTCAAATCAGTTTCTCAGTTACCTTCAGTGAAAAGTATTTTTGTACTTTTTATTTAGGAAAAATACTTCAGCAAAAGCTTAACTGGAACCTAATGCAGTATATTTCTGCAATAACTGCTTTAGATGGAGTTCTTGATTTGTCTTAGATGATACAGAAAATCTGCCCCCATTGCTTAGACCTTAGCAATAAAGTAACAGAAGTTGTCATATTTTTAGCAACATATTTTCTCTTTAACATGATAAAGCCCAGAAGTGATAACAGAATCATTTGCTTGAAACTTGTCACTTCTCACCAGTGCTAGAGCTCCAATTTTAAGAACATACTAATTTGAAATGGTATCTGATTTTTCATTCAGACTTCCTGTGAACATTTGCACATAGCCACTGAAAAGAGGATCCATTTGAATGACTGAGACTTTTCATCACCAGGAGTAAAGAGTTTTTACAATCCCTGTGGGGCTCCGGGGAGTTTTTTCATCCAGTTATCTTGCTTACTACCCGCACGATTGACTGGTGACAGCCCCGGCCCTTCTGTGCACACATTGTCGCTGTCAGCAGATCCAGGATCCAGGGTTTTTATGTAGAGGAGATAATTTGTTGTACCTTAGTGTCATGTGGCCATTGACTGCAAAGGCTAAATCTCCATTGTGCCACTGTTCAGAGAGTTAATGTTTGAGAAAACACTTCCCTTATGAAAGCATCTTGCTCTATGGAACTTTCCAGATCCTTGTGGGTTTTGTGTGTAATAATATGAACAAACATTGAAATCATAATAGAAAAGTATGAAGACTTTAATTTTAGACTCCAAAAGCTTAGTTGGTGATCTTTTGTTAAAATTGTGATACAAGTACCATTGATATAAACATCAATTATTTATCCAAACTCCAGAGGCTGTGAAAGCATTGTTTAATCTCAGGTAAGAGGCATCTTTCTCTTTGGCTTATGGTCTCTAAAGTGAAAATTTAGCAGTGTATTTGCCAAAATATACTCTATCTTCTTGATCCCAGATACTTATTTCTTTCAAATCCATAATGATTTATTCCTTCTGAAAGTAAAGATTTTGGCTGTGCATGACAGCAGTGCTGGGCAGAACTGTTGGGAGGGAGGGAAGAGCTGAAATAAATTTATGTTCTAGATTTAAACTCTAATCAAATGAGTGACCATTAATCACACAGTATGCAGGGGTCCAGGACTACACACTGGAGAATAGCTGCAAATTTTGAGCTGCAGGAAAGAACCTCCCATGAAAAATTCAAACTAAAATATCTTCAGTTCAAGCCCAGGTAACCTGAAGATGGCACTGTACAGACACATGAATTTACCAAGAATTAATTTTAACTTTCACTTTTTATGACAATTGTGCAAACACTGATAGTTGTGATTGAGTTTAATCTTATGTTAGCATTTTCAAATGTGTTGACTCTTTCCTCCATTGTAATGATTTTGACTATATTTTATTTGCCTTCTAGGAAGGTATTGTTTTTTATTATCACAGGATTCAAGAACCTGATTTTACTTGATCTCATTACGGGGGTAATATTGAAGTATAAATGGCAATATGGGTTCCATTATTTCTAACCTATTTGGTCAACAAAAGTAAAATTTTGGTTTTTTAAGGCATAGAAATAAAATCAAAATAACTTTCTCTTTGAACGCAGATTAAAAATAGCTATTTCAATTTTTTTTTTAGAATTCTTAAAATAGTTAAAAAAAGTTTTCAGGAGAAAACTATTCGAGTTTTCAGAAAATTTTAATATCAAATAATTTTCTCATGTACCACATGGAAGAGAGTATATCTGTATATTAATATTTGTTTACATTTTAAATCATTTAGGCTTTATCCTTTTCTCCTATGAGACCTTTTGCCTCTTTTGTTTTCTATCTTCATTCATGCATTTTTGTTAGTCTAAACATATCTAGACCTACTCCTGAGCTTTTACACATTTCACCTCACAGTATTATTATCAGCAATTCTTGGCTATATTGAAAATGTACATTTCTGAAATGTGAAAATAGCTGAAAACATTCTTCTTACTCTTTGTACTTTGTCTAACTCACTCTAGTTGAAGATACATGTCCAATTCTTTCTAAGGTATGTATATTCCTAACTGCTTGCCTTTCTTCTGACAAAGCTTCCCCAGGAACAAAGCCTATGGATGCATCGACCTGATAACACCTTCCAGATTTGATTGGTGAAGCTTAGCGCTCCTTTACCAATGTTTCTGTTTAGACTCAGTTGCTGATGAATAGGAATTGCACACCTGAGAAATCTGAGTTTAAGATTTCTCCATTGCCAAAAGATTAACAAAGCAAGTCTGCTTCCTGAATCGTTGAAAGTGCCCCAAAACACTCCTTTTACCTTCAGGAATACAGAGTTTAATTTCTGTTATTCTCTGAAATAATCTGAACTCCACTGCAATTCACAGGATTGTTCGGTTAACACTCGCTATTGTTTAAAAGGCAGTGAATGAAAAATAAGTTCAGTATGGAACAAGAGGAGGCCCTACATCTGTCCATACCTTTTCTTCGTCATATTCTGGGAGAATGTGTGGCAAAGCCTTCCACTTCCTCGGCAGAGTTTTCCACTGTCCTAAAGACTATGAAAGTTTGACTGAATTCTTCCACTGTTTTCCCCAAGGCTTCCTCCCATTTCCTACGTTCTCCAGTAGACATAAGATACTGACTGAACTTGGTTTGGCTTTTTTTTTTTTTTTTTTTTTTTAACACCTCCTCAGCCTTTACAGTTTTCATCTTCATACAGTATATAGTACTAATAGTCTTCCTAGAGGGAATCAATGAAATTTCCATGTCTTGATTATGACTGTTCATTAGAAGCAGTGGCACAAATCACAGCTTCTTGACTTCAGAATACATTATATTGTTTTGACACTAGTTTTCCCTTCACTTTTATGCTTCATGTACTGTAACTCTCTTTCCCTAAAAGATTGATTGATTGGTGCAAGTAACCTGGGTACATGTATAGTGTGGGAGGGAGAAGACTCCAAACTGCTGAGGGGAGGGGCATTTGGAGAGAATTCCCACATTTTTCAAAAAGTAGATTGGCCTTCTTTTTTGTAAACCCCTCCTGGTGGAATTGAGTTTCTTGTTTGCCAGGAGGAGCAGGTATCTGTGTTTGCTTAAAATCATGGTATCCAGTCTTCAGCATGTAAGAGGCTCTCTGGGTCTCTGAACCATACCTTGAAAAATATTGAAGTGAAAGTGATGAAACTGTTACTACATTTGATTCTGCATATTAAGCTGTGTGTGTGCATGTACGTCTGTCTTAGGGGTGGCCATATGAACTATGTTCACAAAACACTCCTGACTCTGATTTACATTTCATAGTTACCAGTTGTGCGAATGCATAATTCTTTCCTTTCATTGCTTTTTATTTCAATGGCAAAATTATAACTGATAAAAGTATTTTGGATGGAGACAGTGTAACACTTGCGTATATCCCGTCCATCTTTATATACCCACGCTAGCTTGTGCACGCCAGGCCTGCCTGTGAAGGTACTGCATCTAAAGGTAAGAGTACAGATGATCACTTAATACTTGGTGACATCACTAATGTTGCCAGCAGTTATGCAATAAATTTTTTTTTAACGTACACATTTGTTTACAATAAATTGAAATGATCTTATTTCACCAAAAATTATCAAATGTACCCATGAACTATAATTTGAATTGAAAAACAGAACCTGCAAATCAAAAACTTGAGACCCCTTTAATTTTCTAAACTATATTCTAAAGAGGAATTCTTAGCTGAACAAGTCTCCCGAGGAGAATTTCCTCTGCTAAGTTCCCTGTTAGTCTCATCAGTCTTTCTGAATAGAAGTAGTTTACTGTAGAGATTTCTGCTGTCTACATTCTTAAAAATTAAATAAAGCACTGTCTACATAAAGTAGACATTTTTAGTGGAACTAAGTGTTTTCTTATATAAAATTACAGCTTTTTTCTTTCCCTTTTGTAGATTTACCATCCTTAGAATAAATTTGCACTCATTTTGATTATCCTAGTCACTAAAATGTACGTTCCTAAAAATACTTAGCATTTCATTTTTAAAATGAGGTTTGCAATTAATTTTACAAAGGTATTATTCCTAGGAAAAAAATGATAAAAAGGATTTATCCCCAGTTAACATTAAAATTTTATCCTGCTTTCTCTTTTGCACCAAATGACATTAGTACATCACCAGGAGAGTGAAATCTGGATTCTTCTCTCTGTTCTCGGAACACAATACAACATGTTGTCAATGAAATTTCCATCAAGTCCTGGTAAAATTTGTTCAGTAATATGTAATTAGCCATGTACTTATTAGGAAACCACAATCCAAATAATCTGTCCAGTTAACATAACTTTAAAACAAAGATCCTTTAAATTTGGCAACACCGTAGAAATCTTAATATAAACTACTGATAAAAATGTGTGTATGACTTCCTGTCCAACCATATTTCAAAATGTTTTACTTTTCATTAAGACAGTAACTTAATACAGTGTATGTTAGAATTAATAAGACATTCTGTTGTTTCAAAGATGAAAAATGGAAAAGTCTTTATAAATAGAAATATTTACTCATAACCATCAGCTATTGAATTAATTTAATTGTGATTTTAAGAATTCAAGATGTGTGAAAGTGTTACTTATATGTCTTCCTGGAAAAAAATACATTTGTAAGATTTTTATAAATGCACATTTATGTACAAATACCACTGGCATTTGGGATGCTCTCAGTAGTCTATTAATTCAATCATGAACACCAGCTATCTGACACATTTTATAAATTCAGCATGTGATGTGTGTGTAGACACATGTGCGTGGTTGCATCTAAACTCAAATGGGTTTATCCCTTTTTATACAAAGAGTTGAGCTATTCATGTAATGGGAAAAGTTGCCATAAAGATATACATAAAAGCCCCATAATTTGGCAC